GAATTGTGGGGTTGGCAGAGTACAGGTATGTGGGTTAATGGGGCATATTAGGGCATTGTTGAATGAGGGCAGAGTTAAGGTTGCATGAGCAATCTTACCTCTTCATTTATGGATTTTCAGAAGTTTGGGTTTTACTCAGCGCAATGTTCTGGAAGGGGACAACTTACCACTAAGCAACTTTACCTCTCCATTAAGATAATTTCCAGCCATTTAATTGATTTCAAAACAAACAAAACCTAATCTGAATGTAACTGATACAGTGATATCTACCTAAGTCTGCAGAGAACCTGAAGTGATGCCTCTGAGAAGTATGAATTGCCCCATGCATCTCAATGTGGTATTAATTCCAAGGCCTACTGCACTTGGAGCCCTCTGCCAGTACTGGTCTAGCAAGGGAAAAGGTGTGCAGTGGGCTAGACTGGCTCATCCAAGAAGAGTTGGGAGTGTAAAATACTGGGAGGCGCATCCCTGTTGCCTGGCTTCTCTGGGGGACCGAAGGTACCCAGCTATTCTCAAGGTGTGTGTGGGGGAACACCTGCTGCTCCCAAGGGATGTGCATCCTAGACCACAGCCCCTCACTCTCTGGGATGCGATGGGGGAACCTATTGCTACTGCCACTCCCAAGTCAGGGGTGGGACCACAGCCCAGAGACAGGGCTACATGGACAGAGCCATGAAGGGCCTTATGCCATGGTGTGCCTTGGGTCCTGGATTACCTTAATCCAGCCCTGAAGACATTAATGAATACTGTAAAACATCTGGCCCTGTATTATTAATATTATTTATTGGAATTACCCATAGTGCCTACTTCATGGCTGTTGTTCATGTTATACACCATGGCCACTGAAAACAAGTGACCAAAAGGCTATAAGTCTGCTCCAAAAGTGTAGGTCCTTTCTACTTCAGCTAAGGCAGAATCTCCTGTAGCTGTTAGTGTGACATATGTTTGTGAGTAGCTCTGCGACCTTGGTTACCTCACAATCCTTCGCTGTTGTAACTTCCAACTTTGGGTCACTCATAATCAGCCTGCCAGCATGCAGGTTACACCCTGAGTGTCTGTGTAAAGCCACAGTCTTGGTCCAGCAGTTCTGACCCCAGCAGAGTGTCAGCAAATACCAACCACACTGGCTTCCAGCAGCCTTTGTTACTATTTGCAGGGTGACCCCAAGACATTCTCACTCCTGAATTTCCCCCCAAAAAACATGTTTTGCACTGTCCAGCCTTCTCCTGAACAGTCCAGATATACTAGGTCTGTTGCCCCTCTAAGGGGATCAATACTCAACAGCTTGCCACCTTAAATGAAGTTACCAAAACAATTCACAACACTGGATTACTTCTGATTAAAGAACAAAACAAGTTTATTTGAAAACAAAGAGATTTTAAGTGAGTACATGTAATGAGGTATTAAAGTCAGAAATAGTTACAAGAAACATAAAGATAAAATGCTTTCTAAACTTAACAAACTGAACTTTGCTCAAATCTGTTCCACCTTGTATTTAGCTGTGACAGTCTGATTAAGTTTCCCAGACTTGAAAGACTCAAAAGCTTCTCTCTCACCAATAGAAATTGGTCCAATAAAAGATATTACCTCGCCCACCTTGTAGCTCAAATTCTGTCTAGTAGAAGGCAGCAGTCTATGTACACAGGGGCCAGCTCTGTGTCCCTAGTCACCTATTTAAAATGTCACAGTAATTACAGGCTTCAAACCTGTATTCCAAATATTCTAATTACTAGAGGGTTTGGCTATTGTATTTTAAAATAATTGTCATGAAAATGTAAGCAAGAAGCTCTTCTAGATTTTTTTAATGTTTTTACATTGACTAATGTTAAATTCACCTATGATACTTCTATATAAAACTAAACTGGACAGGCAAAAAGGTTATGTGGGTAGATTATTACTAAAGGCCCACTCCTTATTCAAGCAAAGCTCCCATTGAAGTTATGCCCTTTAATGCTAATTTCCACATAGGATGTTAAAGTAATAACATACTTTCCTCTAAGTGAAGTAATGCTGGAATGTCTTCATCTACATACATAATCAATAGTTTATTAAGAATATGTGTGCTCTACTTTAATTCTGGGATTGCTTTTCTGTACCTAGCCAGGTGGCTGACCTAAAAAATATTAACCTACTACCACTGCCAGCACAAAGGGGATCATCTTTCTACTTATTTAGAGAGAGGGACAGAGATTCTGATCTCAGTTACAGTTGTGTGAATGGGAATAGCCCCACTGATTTAAAATGAAACTAGTAGGGTTACTCTGGGTTTACACTGCTGTAACTAAGGCCAGAACCTGATCTGAAATGTACTCATAATTATCAGGAGTGGGTTTTGTTACCTGAAAATATCTCCCTTGTTAAAGCTGACATTTGTAAGAAAATCAGCACTACAACATAACAGCAAAAATATGTGAATGGAAACCACCTAGATTCTTCAACAAAATAAATTCATAGATTCCAAGGCCAGAAGGTTCCATTGTGATCATCTAGTCTGACTTCCTGTATAAGACAGGCCATAGAACTTCCCCAAAATAATTCCTAGAGTATACCTTTTAGAAACACATGATCTCTAGAAAATCCAGTTTGAACAAGTCATACATCCATATTTTATAATGGAGGAAGTTCATTACCACCCCCCTCCCTACTAGAGAAGGTACATATAATGCCACAACACCACCTGCACAATTGCATTTTTAATACAAAGTACCCCAACAGTATTAACCCTAATTCAGTACAGTTTATTTTAATTCCATAAGGTTTGTTCAGGATATTGTCAGTCTGTCGCAATGTCTCATTACTTCTCACTGTTTAAGCATGCTAAAATGGGAGAATGGACCACTTGCAGTCTAGCTGTTGCTGACACAGGAACAAAGTTCTGAATGTTACTGAAAAAAAATGCTTGTTTGGCATAGTCAAAGTAAAAAGAACTTCTGTAGATCAAAATAGTAATTATTTACAGAATTACATTTCAAGATGATTCAAGTTCCTAGGGCCAAAATGTGATTTACTGTAAACTTGCAACAATAGGGTGGGGAATTGCCTCTGGATGCTACATTTTTATTTCTATTTGGTTTTTAAATCCACCATATGCAATGAGGGGGAAATCACATGCACACAAGCTCTCTTGAATACATTAGTTTTATAAATTTGTTGAGTTTGTTCCCCAGTTACTTCACCTTCTTGAAATCAATATACAAGCTGACAGTATCAATGATTTTCCCTGGTTTTTTTCAGTGTTGTTGCTATAAAAGAAATCTCTACCTTCATCGGTCATCATTTCCATTACCATATGATGAATCAAATTTGAAAAGGGTTTAATGAAGAGTCATATATGCTCATCAGAAAAGATTACAGGGATCTTGGGCCTGATGCTGAGAGGTGCTAAGTGTCCTTGACTCACACTTTGGCAGGTGCTGAGCATCTTGCATGATTGGGCTTTTTGTTTTCAGTTTTGATTAGTTCCATACAACTATAGTGATGTATAAAGAATAAATAAGAGTTTCAGAGCAGTTCTATTAAAAATGAGTAACAGACAGGCTATTAGTTTATTATCCAGAAATTGTCAGGTGCCACAAAGGAAAGGCAGCACACGCTGAGATATACATCAGGGACTTGATGGCTTGGAATATTGGTAACAGAGCTTGTCATTTTTAGGTCACTATTTCATATGCAATTGGAGTTGGAAACTAGTGTCCAAAGTTGTGTTCCTCTGGAACCATTGCAACCCTGATCCAAAGCTCCATGTAAAGACTTGGTGGGCTCACTCCAGTGGCTAGTATAAAAACAATTTTCATCAAAGAGCCAATGGACTGATTGATTTCATACCAAGTGCTCTACCCTCCCAACTCTAGCCATTTTCCCACCCTCCCACTGTGCTGAGTGTAATTTAATCCCCTTTTACGTTTTTGTCTGTTGTTTCACTTTTTCGCCTTCCCTCTTTCCATAGGTGCTGGAACTAGGCGTACTGCTGCTTGAAGTGGTTTCCATTATATATGGGGTTTAATTTAGTTCAATGGCTCTCAGCACCCCCACTATACAAATTGTTCCAGCACCCCTGCCTCTTTCACGGCCCTTGTGAGTTTTGGTGGGATTCTACAGCAACACTTGCTGACCAAAGCCTTTGAAAAGAGTTTTTCTTTCCCTTTCTGCTCTGTCCTTGGCAGGAAAAGGAGTAAACACAGAGATCAGTCTCCCATGAAGAAACCATTGGAATATGCCATTATCCTTGTAGGGATATAGAGTTACAAACTTATTCTTTAAAAATTAAAGCTGAGAATGTCATGTTCTTACTTGAGTGCTAGGACTTTAAAAAAAGCATCAAACAGCAGGAGACAGAGCTATGGTGTGGAGTGGGAGGCACATCAGCTGTTTCCCTAATTACAGGAGGCGAGTATAGAGACAGCAGTAAAGGAAGGAGCCTCCAGAAGGGAGCAAAGTATGGAAGGTAGTACAGAAAGCCTAGCCTGAGTGTATATGTGTTTGAGGGGGCAGTGAAGGCCACCTGCAAGCTCAGCAACAAGCAGGGGGTCCTATGTTTGGCAACAGAAACTGAAGCCATCACACAAACCCTTTGCATGCTCCGCATGATCCTTGTTTAATGTTGCAGCAGGAACACTCCAGAGGGATGCTGCAGTTGTCAGAAGGGGGAAACACTCAATTGGGGGAGGGCCCCGTTTTGGGGCCCCGCTAGGGGCCACCTTGGCAGTAGCAAGCAGGGGGGGGGGGCTGACCTTGTCCAGGGCCTTAGAAATGCAATGCAGTAGCCAACTCTTTGCTGGAGGGCAATACCGACAACAGTTCTGCCCTGCTTCACCAAGCACCGGCCCCGTCATCCCCACCCTCGTCGCCTAAAAGCTTTGTCCTGGGGGGGGGGCACAGCAGGGCTAGGACCGTGCGGGGCCTCGCTCCCCTGCTGGGCAAGGCATGCTCAGGCCAGCCCGACGCTACGGGGATGGGCGGGCAGAGCGGGACGAGGGCTGGCTGCCGGACAGAACCTGCCCAGGAGCAGGAAGAGGAGGCTGCCCAGTGCTCCCGGAAGCGGGGGAAGGGCGGTCACATGTCCGCCCTGGCAGCCCCCTCCTACCCAGCCGGCTGAAGAGGAAGTGCCGCGCGCTCCGGGGGGAGCTTAGCTGGCGGCGCTGTGCAGGCGGTGGCGGGTCCGGGAAGGCCGCTGGCGGAGGGTGAGCCGGTGCCGGCCGGCTGCTGCCCCGGCGGGCGGAGGAGGATGAGCGGGATGAGGCGCGCCTGGCTGTTGTGGGCCGCTCTCTGGGCCCTGCTGCTCCCGCGGGTAAGGGGCTGCGGTGCGGGCGCTGCTGGGCCGCCGGCGGCCCCTGCGATCGTGGGGAGGGCAGTCGGCGGGGCCGGCAGGGTGCTAGGGGGTGAGCCGGAGCGGAGGTGGGGGCTGTGGGGGAGAACTGGAACGGGGGGGCGGGGCCGCCAGGGTGTTGTGGGGAGGAGAGAGGGGAGCAAGGGCTGTGGGAGAGAAGGTGGGGGGGGGGGCTGGAGCTGTGGGGAAGGGGGAACGAGAGGCGGCAGGGAGGTAAGAGTTGGACCTGTGCGGGGTAGGCCCGGCAGGGGGCTGGTGGGGAAGGGGGGCGAG